TGTGTGAGAGGCCCTCACCGGGGGAAGGGGCAGGCGACAGCACAGGAGAAGGAGGGACAGAGGTAGTGCAGAGGAGAGGCAGGCTGGGGTTAGGGTTAGGGGAGTCCCTGGGCCTACACCCAGGACAGCAGAGAAAAGGCGGGCTCTTTTATCAATTGATTCTTTACATTGTGGTAAAATACACACGTGATAGCATTAACATTTTCTTAAGTGTGCAATTCAGTGGCATTAGACATTGTCATTGTTGTGCAACCATCGCCACCATCCATCTCCAGAACTCTTTTCATTTGCAAAATCATGATCCTAGTCACAAAAGAGAAGTCTTTCTATCCATCCATCTGTCTGTCCAGCCCAGGGAAAAACAGGACCAGGGAGAAACCAACCTTGATGTTTCATGTCCCTGGGATTTTTTCATATGTGGACATTGCTTTTGTTAATACTTTTATCAACTTCCTATGAAATTCCAATTAGCACATAGTGTGTATGTGATTTTATCATCATATAACATGTAAAAATTTTCTTACCCTACCCACAGACACATGAACACTTACTCTTAAGAACAGAAATTTATTTCACACCATTGACAATTCAAAAATCAGTACTGGTCTTTACGAAAGTGGTCTTTTAAGTTATACATAATTTAAAAAGAGGTAGGGACTGGAACAACAAAACAAACCAAACAAAAAAACCCAAGTTAAAGTTGCCACATAATACTAGCTGGTACTTATTACAGACCATTCTAAAACCTATAGATTCACTTTTGGCATTGGTTCCTGCTTCATTTATCAGAGTTTTCAGAAATGTGTTAAAATGCAAACAATATGGAACTTAGTTGCAAAATTAAGTTAGTCCAAAACAACTTCCTCTGTGTGATAGGAAAGGAGACAAATGCAGGGTATGTTCTCAGGGTTGTGAAAGTGTGTTTATGTGTGTGTGTGCTTTAAATAATATTTTTAAAAAAGAGACTTCTTGCAGAGTTTTAGATTCATTGCTGGCTTCATCGCTTTCACGGTTTGGCTTCTGCCAATTCTGAAGTCTTCCCCACCTGGGGCCGTCCGTGGGGTGTCTGTCCTGCCACCTGGGGACAGAGGTCAGGGCACGTGCTGGGCCCAGTCCTCCCCCACTTGCTTCCTGGCCTTCACATCTGCGTCTGTGACATGGGCCCCGACGTCATATACGGGTTACTCTTTTCCAGGCTCTTTTTCTTTTCATCCTCATCAAACTGAGCTTCAATCTCTGCTGGGTTGATGTAAGTATAGAATCGGGCCATGATGGCAAATATTACACAGACGACCAGAAGCAACGCAGCAAATAGAATGTATTCAGCCCACTTTGGAGTTGGAGTTGGAGGAAGGAAAAAACAAAACAAAAATAATACAGGTCATAATAATGTATAGATTGTGTATATTTTTTTGCTATGTCCAAATGGAAGGTGCTTTGAAATTAAATTATAGAAAATTGGTAGGCAACCGATGCAGAGACAGTATGGCCAGCTTTTCTGGAATGCCCATGATAGGTAGATGCCAACCTAAATGACGTTTTCCTAATAGCACTGGGGCACAGCAATGAAAGACTTTGGGAAGATGAGGGAGAATTTTCAAAAATCCTAAGCCTTCAGCCACATGGCTGCCCCTGGGAGGATGAGGCCCAAGAGAACACCAAGCAGCACCTTTGAGGGAAGAAGAATGTGCTGAGCAGTGTCAAGTCAAGACACCTGCTTCACCCCCAGAAACACCTGGAGCTCATGAGCACAGGGCATTAGCACATTCTCTGATGGACCCGGTGCAGGAAGTAATGAAACAGCTGGGATAAGACAACTCCCTTATGAGGCTGATCTGCTGCAGTGCTGGAGCAGGGTTTAAATACTAGAAAAGCCCTCATTTTATTTTAGCTGGAAAAACTGCAACCACCTGTAGAATGGTTTTGCCTCCAGGTGTTATGTAAGTTTATGGACAATGTGTCTGCTTTGAGTCTGCACTCATTAAAGTTGGGAGAGATGTTTCCTTTGGGAGTAAATCACACGGGGCGCATGCACATTAACCCAATCTGTTCATTTTGGTCGTCAATAGTTTGGATATCTGGCCTCTCCACATCTCATGTTGAAATTTGATCCCCAGTGTTGGAGGCAGGGCCTGGGGGGGGGTGTCATAGGGTTGGATCCCTCACGAATGGCTTTGTCCTGTGAGTGAGTTCTGGCTCTAATAGTTGACCAGAGAGCTGGTTGTATAAAGACACTGGCACCTCCTTCTCATGCTCCCTGTCCTGCCATGTGACACCCCTGCCCCCCTTCACTTTCTGCTGTGACCAAAGGTGTCTTGAGGTCCTTCCCAGAAGATGGTGGCAGCAAGCTCCTTGTACAGCTTTTAGAACTGTGAGCCAAATAAAATTCTCTTCTTCATAAATTACCCAGTCTCAGGTGGTCCTTTATAGCAACACAAAATGGACTAAGACAATCACCAACAACAGAACACCAAGTGGAAACAAGAAGAATCAGCAGACACTGCCATAGGCTATTTGGTGACAGCCCTGTGGGGCTGGCCTGGCAATGTTATCCAGCCATTAGCCCAAATGGCCCTGGAGACCATGTAAACAGCTGGGAAGGGTCATGGTGACTGTTAATATTGACAGATAAGACAGGGGCACATGCGATCTCCTAGCCACCCAGTACCTGTTTGGGGAACTGGCCTGCCCCTGCCACGATGAGCACAATGATGTTGCCAACAGCCACCGTCAGCAGCCATCCTGCCTGCAGCACCGACTTCATGTTGGAAGGAGCCTGAGGAAGCAAAGCAAAGAGAACCCCAGTCTAGATGTCGGCCTTGGAGCACGAGAACAAACTCACTGGTTCATTTCATTAAGCAGTCTACCCTACAGATGCACGTGAAAAGTCAGGTTGGCTTAAATGTGCAAAGGTTCATCGCTGGGTCACAAGATACCCAGACACTCATGCAGGAGCATACAGGAGTCCCTGCGTCTCACTCCATGTCCTTGCCAAGCTGTCCTCTTAGTTAAATGGACAGACCTACAGACAGACTCATTCTGTCTCTGCAGAAGAGTTTCCAAGCAGAGCCATGAGCACACCTGTTCCTCCCCACAGTGGGGGCTTCTCTCCAGGCTGCAACCTGGCCCCATGTGGCTTTCCTGCCACCTTACCCACATCTCTCTGCAAACCCTTGTCACCTGTATCACAGTCACCTCCTTTATGTGACTGTGAGGTCATCACAGAAAGGGACTGACCCAGTCACCTTCACCATCTTTACTACAAAAACGGAAGTGACTAGGCACCATGGGACACAATGACTATGACTGTAGTTTTGATGAAATAGTTCAAACATTAAGCTCTAACGTGGTTGGCAACAAGCTTGGCCTACTTAGCCTTGAGACAGTGTAGGGACAGGATGGGGCCTCACTTCTGATCAAGGAAGACAATATGGTGCAGCATGACCCAGTCTAATGAATATGTATACAATGGAATATTTCTCAATTATAAGAAACGACAGTGATCTATCACCACTTATATTTTCCTGGATTGAGCTTGAGCCCATTATCGGAAGCGAGGTGACGCAAGATCAGAATAATGGGCTCCACATGTACTCGCCATCAAATTGGTACTGGCTGATTAACACTACGGTGCTCACATGGTGGTGGTGTTCTCCTGGGATTAGGGAGTTGGGGGGTAGACGCACAACTGAGGGACACGGTGAGTATTGTGGAGGGGAGGAGCATGCCTCTAACCCTTGCTAGGGAGAGGCAAAGATATAAAACGTAACCAAAATGTTTGTACTCTCATATTTTTCTGAAATAAAAAAAATTTAAATAAATAAATAAGTAAATAAAAGAGCAAAAACGAATGACCTCCCAGCCACAGGAATTCAGTCCATACCCATATAAGCAAGAGGCCAATTGTCTCTCTGTGTTTTTTTTTTTTTCCCTGAGACAGAGTCTTGCTCTGTTGCCCTGGGTAGAGTACAGTGGCATCATCAAAGCTCACAGCAACCTCAAGCTCCTAGGCTCAAGTGATCCTCCTTGCTTCAGTCTCCCCAGTAGCTAGAAGGACAGGTGCATGACAACACACACCTGGCTAATTTTTCTATTAATATTTTTATTAGAGATGGGGTCTTGATCTTGCTCAGGCTAGTCTGGAACTTCTGAGCTCAAGGGATCCTCGTGCCTCAGCCTCCCAGAGTGCTAAGACTACAGGGAGTAGCCACTGCACCCGGCCTGTCTCTTGAGAAAAGTCTTCCAGGCCCACTGGGGCAGGATGATTAGGAACCAGACCTATCTGGATCTAACCACCTCTAGCCAGAACAGACCCCCACACTGACCTTACTGTGATTTTTCCCTCATATATAATATCATTTTAATGTTAAAAATCATGCCTAGAGGTAGGGATTTTACATGGTAATGAGACTTGAGACACATGAAGAAGGGTGTAGCAGAACCATGCAAGTGTGAGAAAATCTCCCCCTTTATGTGGCGACACGTCACCCTGTCCCCCATGAGCCTCTTCAACACTGTCCCTGAACCCCCTTCGGTGGGGGGAGCAGCCTGAGGACTCTCTGCTGGTGCTGCCCGCCTGGTGTTGGAACACGAGCCCCAGCAGAGCCTGGCCTGTGGCTGTCGTTCGGCTCTGGCTACTGCACAGAGAGCACAGGGCCTGCGCCAGCCACGGTCTAGCAGACCTAAAGGCCATCACGTATTTTCACTTGTTTTAAAGCTCGGCCTTACTCAGCGTGTTTACTGGGAGCTGCTGAGGGACCCTGGCAGAACCCGAAAGATAATGAGGACGCACTTCTGTGCACAGCTGGGGCCACTCGGCTGTTTCAGAATGTGGACTCTACCGACTCTGGGGACCCTGGGAGTGTCCCTAACACAGTTTCTCCTCCTCGGGACTCTAGGTCTCTAGAGCATGGCGTGGGACACGGACACACGAGGACATGCGCACTCTCAGAGCTGAACCAAGTGATGTTCTTATTCAGTAACGACAAGACTTGGTGATCTCAAGGACCTTGTTTTGGGGAAGATGCCATAATGCTTTCTAGAACTTTCTAATACTATAAACATACAGCTATGCCCAATTTAAATTATGTTGCACCAGCATTTTCCAAACACAGGGGTATGGCAGAGGGGTGGTAAAAACAATGAACGAGAGACCTGAGAATACGAGAACTCCAATCCCGTGACGGAGAAGACCACCTCGCCACAGGTGATGAGGAAATACTGTGGGATTTGCAGAGCCATGTTCACTGTGTTGGGGGCAATGTCTTCAAACTCCTTCACCTCGGGGCAGCCATCATCCTACGCCAACAAGGCAAAAGAAGGAAGAAGAAGTTAAAGTCAAGATGGTGTCTAAAATAAAATTTTTTAAACAGGCAAATTGAGTATGATTTTCTAGCTTGTGTGATGTGATTTATCAAGTAAGTGCACATTGTCAATGTAGATATGCAACGCTGCATTTTATACTTGTGATGGGACGGCCTTTGTGGGATTTGAGAATATGTTCAATAGTATTTTCCTCTTAAAGAAGGGGGTAGATTGGAGGTTAGGTTTGTTTAAAACAGGCGTTCTCAAACTACGGCCTGCGGGCCACATGCTGCCCGCCTAGGACATTTACCCGGCCTGCCGGGTGTTTTTGTCGCGCTGCCTGTCCTGCTTAGCAGCCGACTCGTCCCGGGCCCACAGTGCGCACTCTCCAACGGAATCGGACCGTGAACTGGCTCCCTGTTTAAAAAGTTTGAGGACCCTTGGTTTAAAACATCGCCATCCCTTTGAACTACAAGATCCTGAAGTCCACGTTCATAGTGTACAAGGAAGCAGCAGACACTGGCCAATGTGAACTTTTAGCCAGAGGGAGTCAGTCTGTTTAATTTAGTTCTAATGGTTAACTTAAGTCAACAGTAAGTTAAAGAATTGGCGGTGGATTGATTCTGAACCCATTTAAGATACAGATCCTAATAGTACTCTAGTTAAATCATTCCTGTGTCCTCAGTGCTGGTGAGTGGCACTGCTGACACGCTGCAGTGAGTCACTCACCTTCCTATTGATCACAAAGGTGTACGCACTGCCAAATTCAAGGTAGAAAGATGTGAAAACACTTGGACACTGCGGTGAAATCTCTGGCGAGTTTATCGTGAAGTCTTTTCTATTAAAAGAAAGAATAATATAGGTTAACACTCTTGGTATTATTATTATTTTTTTTAATTTTAATTTTTTTCCAGCATATTGTGGGGGTACAAATGTTAAGGTTACGTATATTGCCCTTGCCATCTCTCCCCCCTCGAGTCAGAGCTTCAAACGTGTCTATCCCCCAGTTAGTGCACACCGCACTCATTATGTATGTATAAACCCATCCCTCCACCCCCACCTGCCTGGCACCCGTTAAATGTTATTCCTATACATCCACTTAGGTGGTGATCAACACTCTTAGTATTAAAAGCTTCAACATATTTTTTGAAAGAAAAAAATTTGAAATCCTTAAACTTTGGAGCAAAGTGTTCAGTATAGGTACTTACATGCCAGAAGGAAAAAACTGATACTCGCTGGCGTTGTAACTGGTGACATCTTCATACACCTTCCCACTCATTGTGATGTTGATGGAGTCATTAAAGGTATTTATAAATCTGAAACGGGAAACCATCCGTCAAGTAGCTGGACTATAGAATAATTAACTGTAGGTCACAGTACCTATGATTGAAGTTGGGCAATGCTCCCTTTCTTTTCTAAAGGAATTCAAGATGCTTACAGACTTCTAGAGAGTAAGGGTAGAAAGTCAGCAACCCTAGTTTTGCCCTTTCTCACCCACTCTTGAGAACACACCTAAAAGAACTTACTGATCACAGTGTTTATACGTGCCAGGTACTGTCCTAAGGACTTTGTAAGTATCACCCAGTTCCCATGATACTTTGGGATGCTGAGCAGGGACTGAGACAGGTACTGACCCTTCCCTCTGAGCAGGCGGCCAGGCCTCCTGTTCCTTGCTTCAGAAGCTTTGGAGCTCAAGTAGCAAGGGACCAAAACTGAGGTTGCCCAGTGCCTAAAAGACAGCCCCCAAATCGGGCTTCCTTTGTGGGTAACGGGGGAAGCCCACCCATTTCCCACGCCTAGGAGCCTGAGGCACGAAGGGCTTCCAGGGTTGGGGAGAGGAAGTGGCCAACCCAGTAATGAGTTTTAACCGGGATTTAAACATTTGCAAGGATATAAAGTAACATTTCCTTCTCTTTCAGACTGATCACACTTTTATCACATCGTGAATAATATTTACATGGTCATATTGTAAATCCTGTTTATTGATCTGTTTTTTAGACTCATTCAAGCACATGGAAAACACAGAATCATAAATGTGATCCATGTTAACAATGTGAAACACACTGGAGCTGAGGAGAGGTGAAAAGTGAAAGTTAATTTCTTTACTATTTATGTTAGTAAGTTAATAGATGTCATCCTAATAATATACTCTGTCTCTGTTATCTCATGTTTTAGTGCTAACTAGTAATAGCTAACATCAGAAACTGTTGTGGTGACAGGGAATGGGGTTGAAAGTTTGAAGTAAATGGGAGACCTACTCTTATTTTTTCCCAATTTATTCTAATTTTTCATTCTTATTAAAAACTGACAGTAAATTGGCTTTTTGGCATAGAGTTCTGTGACTATTACAATGTATCTAGATTTGTAACTACTGTCCCAATCAGATTACGAGGCCACCCGAATGGGACTACCCCTTAGTCAAACCGTTCCTCCACTTCTAAGCCATGACAGCCACTGATGTGTTCTGCGACCCTATAGTTTGTTTTTGCTTTCCCAGAACGTCATGTATTATAAATGGAATTACAGAGCATGCAACTTTCTGAGACTGGCATCATTCACAGCATAATGGATTTGAAATTCATATGCAATTGTTCCTCTTTTTTGCTAAGTAGTATTCCACTGTATGGACTATGTGCTATAGTCTATTTATCCATCACCCACTGAAGGACATTTGGGTGATTTCTGATCTTTGGTGATTATGAATACAGCATCTATAAACATTCCTGTACAGGTTTTTATGTGAACATAAGTTTGCATTTCTCACAAGTAAATATCTAGGCATGGAGTGGCTGAGTCCTATGGTAAGTGTGTGTTTACCTTCATAAGAAACTGCCAAACTGTTTTCAGAGGGGCTGTACCATATTGTACTCCCACTAGCCATGCACGGGAGTTCCAGCTGCTCTGCATCCTCACCAACACTTGGTGTTGTCAGTTTGTAAAACATTATCATAGCTATCCTGTAGGTGCATTATAACTCACTGTGGTCTTAGTTTATATTTCCCTAATGACCAATGACGTTGAACATCTTTTCATTTGATTATTTGCCACGTGTATTCCCGTATCTCCTCTGGTGACATGTGTGTTCAAATCTTTTGCTTTATTTTTTAGTTGGGTTATTTTCTTATTATTGAGTTTTAAGTTCTTTGTTAGATATGTGATTTGCAAATGTTTTCTTCCAGTTTGTAGCTTATCTTTTCATCCTCTTAAGAGTCATATCAACAGAAAATTTTTGGTTTTGTTGATGTCTAATTTATGAAATTATTCTTCTATAGATTATTCTTTTGGTGTCATATCTAAGAACCCAAGGTCACAAGGGTTTTTCAATGTTTCTATTCTAAATTTTATATTTTATATTTTACATGTAGATCTATAATGTATTTTGAGTTAACTCTCATATGAGATGCCTAAGAATTTTTATATAATTTTTGTGTAAGAATTTTATATAAGATGAGAGGTTGAGGTCAAGTTGATTTTTTTACATGTAAATGTCCAAATGTTTCAACATTTGTTGAAAAGACCTACTTTAATCCATTGAATTGTCTTTGTACCTTTGGAAAAAAACAGCTGGCTCTACTTTTGTGGGTTTATGTCTGGACTATTCCGCTGACTTATGGGTTTATTTCTTTGCCATTACAACTTGTCTTGATTACTGTAGCTTTAGAGTAAGTTTTAAAGTTAGTAGTAGTAAGACTCTTTCAAATTTATTCTTTTTTAAAATTATTTTAGCTATTCCAGTTCCTTTGCCTTTCCATATAAACTTTAGACTAAGCTTGTTTATATCTATAAAAAATAATGTTATGAGTCTTAAAAATTAATTTATTTTTATTTATTTATTTTTTTGGAGACAAAGTCACACTCTGTTGATGAGGCAGCAGTGTAATGGCATCATCATAGCTCACAGCAACCTCAAACTCCTGGGCTCGAGCGATTCTCCTGACTCAGCACCCTGAGTAGCTGGGACTAAAGGAGTGTGCTACTACACCTGGCTAATTTTTTTTCTATTTTTTTTGTAGAGATACGGTCTTGCTATGTTGCTCAGTCTGGTCTCAAACTCCTGGCCTCAAGTGAGCCTCCCAACTCAGTCTCCCAAAGTGCTGGGATGACATGAGTGAGCCCCATGCCCAATGCTGTGATTTAGATTTAGTACTGTGCACTATGCCTAGAGAACAGTTTGGGGAAAATTGACATCTTTTACTGTGAAGTCTTCTTGTCGATGTCAAAGATGCCTTTCCATTTACTTAGCTCTCTTTCATAAACATGTTCTAGTTTTCAGCGCTTCAATCCTGCACGTGTTATAAGGCTTATAGCTAAGTCTTTCATATTTTGGGGGGGGAGATATAGCTGTTAAATTTCTTTTTCCAGTGGTTCATTACTAGTACACAGAAATATGATGGATTTCTTTGGTGTTGCCCTGGTATCCTGTGACCTTTCTAGATTCACTTATTGATTCTAGGAGCTTTATTGGGTAGGGTTCTGGGGACTTTCTATGTCTACAGCTCTCATCTGGGTGTAGGAATAGTTTTATCTCTTCCTTTCCAATCTAGATGCTTTTACTTCTTTTTCTTGTCTTGTTGCTCTGGCAACCAGAAGGATGCTGAATGGCAGTGGGTAGAGCGGACACTTTTACCTTGTCCTTGATCTTAGTGGACAGATTTTAGACTTCCACCATAACCTGAGCTCGAATTTCTGTCCCTTTTCTCTCCTATTCCTAGTTTGCTGAGTTTTTTTTTTAATCACAAACGGATGCTGAATTTTGTCAAATACCTTTTCTGCATCAATTGACAAGATGATGTGAATTTTCCTCTTTAGTTTATTAAGATGATGGCTCTTGTTGATTGCTCTTTAAAAATATTAAGCCAGCCTTACATTCTTGGGACAAACCTCTCACACTCATTTTATAACCTTGTTACAGTTGGACTTCACTAGGGGTTTGCATTACTTCCATAAGAAGCTGATGCAACTTAAATGTTGGAGAAATATACATACCTGATCCCATTTTCTCCTTTTTCTGGCTTCTTGTTAAGGCCATCAGTTATCTGAGAGAGAAAACAGTAACATAAAGACAATTTCAAAATCTTACTAATCAGAATAAGTCCAGATGAACTTTCTGGTCTCTGAGAAGGCAGCGTTGACACTTATCCTAGGAGCTAAGGGCCTGATTACATTTGAAAGGCGATTTCTTCAGGCCTGATTTTCCCTAAGGCTAACACGAGCCTCTGCAATTTTCGATCCTTGTTAGCCAATGGTTCCAGGGAACACTGCTCTCCAGGAACTTAGAACAAACCATGCAACAGCTCCCTAATTAACCAAACGACCAAGAGTCTTAAGTCTGCATAGCAGTTCTGCAGAATCTCACTTCGCTTCCCCTTACAGAATGCCTGCAACTCTCTCATAGCCGCTTCATGTACCGAATGTCACATCTAGAGATCTATATCTTGTCATCAAATATTTTGTGTGTATAGTATTCTATTGCTTTTACCCAATATACACACTATATTTTTTCAGAGACTGCTCTAATTTTCTGACCACTCAGTGCAAATTTTTAAAATTAATGCAATTAATAATATATTGAATCTTCATCTCAAAAAGTCCCCTGAGAATGCACGTATATACTCTGCTTGACTTATATACACACACATGCATACGTGTGCATAACCCCCCCCCAAAATTTGTAATAGTTAAAAAAATTTTTTTTTTTTTTTTTTTTTGAGACAGAGTCTCACTTTGTTGCCTAGGCTAGAGTGAGTGCCGTGGCGTCAGCCTAGCTCACAGCAACCTCAGACTCCTGGGCTCAAGCGATCCTTCTGTCTCAGCCTCCCAAGTAGCTGGGACTACAGGCATGCGCCACCATGCCCGGCTAATTTTTTCTATATATATTAGTTGGCCAATTAGTTTCTTTCTATTTATAGTAGAGACGGGGTCTCGCTCTTGCTCAGGCTGGTTTTGAACTCCCGACCTCGAGCAATCCGCCCGCCTCGGCCTCCCAGAGAGCTAGGATTACAGGCGTGAGCCACCGCGCCCGGCCAAAAAAAAAAATTTTTTTTAAATTAATATTAACCCTTCCCATTCACCAGTTAGACAATTCTTGGGAGTACCTGGAAGTCAAGTACCCTTTCCAAAGTGGGCTTGAAGACTTGCATTCTGGAAGAAGAGATTGACTGAGGATGACCTCATATAATACTACACAGGGGCAAAATGAAGTCACACCAATGAGAAGCCGAGTCTCCTGTCCCCAGCAGCAAGGACCCAGCTGAACTACTCACCACGCGGTAGTGATTGGGGGCCCAGACGAGGAGGGTGCTGCGATGGCCCTGCTTAAAGTCCTGAGTTACGGCAGTGACTGGTGAGCCAGCAGAAGAAATGTTTATACTTGCCAGTTTGTCTGCATCAAAAGTCATAAAGTCATCTGTCTATAAATGAAGAAGGAGTCATAGTTAGTACCACAGAGTCTGGTCGGCACTGTGCACCCGCACATTGGCACAGCACGTTATTGACATTCCACGTTTCCAAGTTCATGTTCCTACATATCCAAAACATGCCTCTGGGGAGTTGGCATGTATGTGCCTCGGTCTCCTGCCCACTCTTATGGACTCCATCAGGAGGTATTTTTTTTATTCTACCTACTTATTTTTTTTTATTTTAGCATATTATGGGGTACAAGTGTTAAGGTTACACATATTGCCCATGCTCCCCTCGAGTAAAAGCTTCAAGTGTGTCCATCCCCCAAACGTTGCACATCTTTCTCGTTGTGTATACCCGTCCCTTCCTCCCCACCCCACCCTCCTGACACCCGATAAATGTTACTCCTATATGGATTTTTAATATTAATACTGCCACAGGAATTAAACTTCTTACCAAACATTTCACTTTTATTTCCCTTTATGAAGATAAATGCTATGGAAACCATTTCCACCACTGGGCAGATAACAGCACCGGGTTAAAAGCACCAGCCCTGGTGAAAATCAATCCTGGGCTGTCCCAACCATTAGGAGTCAGGATTTTTTTCTTCGAGGTTACTACTTTGGCAAGGTATAAGGCAGTGGTTGTCCACCATGGCCGAACAGGAATGAGGCCGGCTACATCAAAATCTCTGGGGTTGGGACTCAGGTATCACAATTGGCAAAGCTCTCTGGGTGATCCCAAGATGGGCTCAAGGTTGAGAATCACTGATCTGGAACAATGACCATGTTAGGGTTTTCTGAACTTGGCACGGGTGACATTTGGGCCAGGTAAGTCTTTGCTAGGGAAAACTGTGTGTGGCACCCCGGGCTTCTACACATGAGATGTGAGTAGCACACTCCCGTTGGCAACAACAACAGATGTCTGCAGAGATTGCCCAATGTCTCCGGGGTTACCCAATCACCCTCAGGTTAGAACCACTGACCTAGATCCCTGCTGTCTAAGTGTCTCCGTGTCCAACAGCACATGACTAGAGAGCTTGTTAAAAATGCAGCATTCCAGACCTACAGATTAAGAATCTGCCTTTTAACAAGGTCCCCAGGTGACTATAGACACAGTACAGTGTGAGGCACACTGAATAACCAAAACGAGATCAAGATACCTAGACATTTCACCTTTGGGCTGGTCTGGGATTTGTACAAGGACCAAGAAGAACAGCTTCCCCAAATCCTATTATAACTCTGGTAAGAGGATGAAAGAAAAGGTTACATTTCCTTGCACTTACTTGAGACATTGGGCCAAGTGTCACCATCTTTTCAGGAAGAGATATTGTCATGTTATCATTTCCTACATTCAACACTTTAATTTGGACTTCGTTCCCGTTGGGAAAGACTGGAAGAGTTTTCTGAGCAAAACAAAAGAAAATGGGCAGTGAGACCTTCAGTGCAACAGTGAAGAGATTCTCCACCCTGGCCCGGGGCACGATCCCCCGCTGTGAGGAGCCGCGCTGCCTGAGCCATGCCAGACACCCCACTCAGCGCCAGTCACCTCATGGCACCCACAGAAATGACGTTGGGACAGAAGACTGAAGTAGTCAGAAAGAGGGCGCTGTTGGTCCTCTCCAGCCAGGGCCAGCTCAGAGGATGCCAGGACATGAAGCCTAATGTCTGAGTGGTCAGAGCAACCACAGCCTAAGGAACATCCCCCTTGTGGTGACACCTGAGTCCTGCTCTTCCCCGAATCCTGTGTCCTCCCTGTAACTCTGGAAGCCCAGTGCTCAGCCCTGGACATGGCGCCATAAACATCTTCTCACAAATACTTATGCCCTCCTGCCTCCATACCCGTGCTCAAGGGTTTTGTCTTTTTGTCTACAGTGTCCTCTCTCAAATCCCAGGTCACTGAAGCAGCCCATGTGTGCCTTGGCCCACAATTCATTTTCCATGTATAAGAGAGAACAAGTACCTCATGTGCCGAGCAGCACTAGTTAGTGTAGCCAAAAGGTGGAAGCAACTGGAGTGCCCAGTGAGGGATGAAAGAACGGACAAAATGTGGTGTAGACACACAATGGAATGTTACCCAGCCTTAAAAAAGGAAGGAAATTGTGACACATGCTACAACATGGGGGTGAACTTTGAGGATATTATGTTGAGTGAATAAACCAGTCACAAAAGGACAAATACTATATGATCGTACTTATGTGAGTGATCCTATTCATAGAGACAGAAAGTAGGCTGGGGGTTCCAGAGCCTGGAGGAGGGAGAAATGGGAGTTGTTGTTTAGTGGGCACAGAGTTTCAGTTTTGCAAGATGGGAAGAGTTCTGGAGTTGGTTGCACAACAATGTGAATGTCCTTAACACTACTGAACTGTGCACTTAAAAGTGAATAAGATGGTAAACTTCATGTTATATGTATTTACCACAATTAAAAATAAATTTTTTAAGACATTAAAAGAGAAGGAGGGAGAGAGAGACAGAGAGAGGAAAGGAGAAGGAGAAGGGTGGTGGGGGAGAGAGACTCTCTCCAGCTGCACCCGTGCAGGGATAAGAGCTCGCTGTTCTCCCCTTCCTCGCACCGCCTGCAGCTCCAGGGCTTGGTTTCTAGGGACAGCCCTGGCCTCCCCTCATCCTCTCAGTCCTGGAGAAGGGAGATCGAGAACGCCCCACCCGACCCCACCAGGAGGGGATAGAGGAGAGTCAGAGGACAACTCACGTCGATTTCCACCTGCACAATTGCAGCCGCCACAAAGGCCATGGAAGCCAGGAACATTCCAACTGTCATCCTCCTTAAGGAGCTGGTCGGGACAAGAAGAGAGTGACTCCCAGCCAGTCTCGCACAGAAGAGCTCACGAGAGCCCCCAAAGGAAACGCCTCCCCCGCCCGCCCCCCAAACAAACTAACTTCCCTACAAAAGCACACGGGCTCGAAAGCGTCTCTCCCTCCGTGGTTCATGACCAAGACTAAGGAGGATCGATGGAATATACCTTCCCATTAGCATAGTTACCCTTAATTTCTAGAAACTAAAGTTGAGATTACAATGAACACTTCTATCATCTACAACCTAAGAGAGCCTCAATCAGATTTTCAGGTTTCCATTAACAGGACTTGTATTTTAAGCGCAGCCCCCTGCAAAGCCCTGGGACCAGGGGAGCCTCGACCAGCCCACCCACGCAGCCACCTACGTGAAATTCAAACCACATTTTGCAATCAGAGGATACAACACGGCATCGAAGATGGGGACCATGATAACAATCAAGATGGCATTCACGGTCTGCAGACAGAGTGGAGGGAAAACGTTAACATTGTCTCCAAGACAATTTTGATCTCTGAAAGTAACTTCAGTGTTTTCTCCTACCTGCATCTGATCCGGCTGAATTTCTATAGATCCCTAAACAAAGGAGAAAATAATCTCATTGAAAAATGTCATGAAAGGGAAGGAGAAAGGGGACAAAGGGACAGTAACAAAGGAGTAGTGACGAGGGAAGGTCGAATGTCTTGACATCCCAAACTTACGATTTTCCCGCTCATGGTTGTTGCCTGCAGTGTCCATCGGGAGCCCTTAAAACGAACACGGTTACTGCGTCATTTGGGGATGTGGGTTTTTAAAATATCGCAAGTCAGTGTTGGGCCATTTTGAAATCGGTAATGAGGTTGGAAATGTAATGGGATGTAAAATGGTTTTTTTTTTTTTTTTTTTTTTGAGACAGAGTCTCGCTTTGTTGCCTAGGCTAGAGTGAGTGCCGTGGCGTCAGCCTAGCTCACAGCAACCTCAATCTCCTGGGCTCAAGCGATCCTTCTGTCTCAGCCTCCCATGTAGCTGGGACTACAGGCACGCGCCACCATGCCCAGCTAATTTTTATATGTATATATTAGTTGGCCAATTAATTTCTTCCTATTTTTATAGTAGAGACGGGGTCTCGCTCTTGCTCAGGCTGGTTTTGAACTCCTGACCTCGAGCAATCCGCCCGCCTCGGCCTCCCAAGAGCTAGGATTACAGGCGTGAGCCACCGCGCCCGGCCTAAAATGGTTTTAAACATCCACTTAGCTTCCCAGCTCTATGTTAACACTAGGTGGAAAGAAACGGGTTGCGTTTCTGTTGTGCAGTGAACAGGGTACACGGCATTCCAGCCCCTCGTGGAAACGCACAGTACTGCTCTGACATGCAGCTGTCCCTAGAAATACACAGATGCATTCCTGAGGCTTGTTGAATAGCACGATGCCGTCTGCAAGGTGAAAGCAGCTCTGTGCGCTGTGGATTACCCCTATTCACTGGCATCGAGGATTCAAGACGATTCCTGTTCTTAAGAGCCGTTTTTGACAGTGCACGCCGGCTGAAACTAGATCTCCATCATAAGAGTGAGCGATGGATTTAAACTGGGCACCCAAGTGACAGTCAACCCATGTTATAGTGAAAGATGGCCCAGGGCTGTACAAGTATACATTATTATTTCCATGGAAGACCAAACATGTAAATGTGTCAATATCAACCTGTCCATTCCACTAGGAGCGCATCATAGAAAGTCAGGAAACCTACCGCGTCTGAGTTCTTGATATAAGCCTGTCTCCGAGTACTTTACATATTTTCACTAATTGGATCCTCGTAGCCTTGAGGTGGGTTACTAGGAGCCTTCCAGAACGGTCAAGAGTTATTACCCCAAGCCACACAGCTGCTAGGTGAGGAGTGTGTTTCTTGTGCACTTCTGACCCCAATAACCAGCTCCTACCCAACATGCATGACTCCCTCCCTGGTCTTTACGATGCTAGTCTAAATTTCATGCCTACAAATAAGGAGATTAATGTGGACACTCAAATTTCTTTTAAGAAACAGTTTCCGTCTGTAATAATCCTCCCTGCACAATAAAGCCACATCTTCATAATTTTTTTTAAACTCCAGTTTCTAAAAGAAACAGTATCTGATTGCTTTGGCTACAAGCATCATGCACTGGCTTGTCTGACACTATTGTGAACAATTCCTGGGTATGTGTCTTAAGGCTGTGGCAGAAAGAGCACAACAAGTCACCCATCGGGTTCCAGGTCCCTGCTCAGAGAGGGAGGACTTTGGTGGGGTCATTTCCCATGCCTGGATGATACCTCTAGTCCAGGCATTCCATTTGAGCACGGAAGACACCAAGGCCCTCTTGGTTTAAATAAGCTATGGATGCCATAAAAGGTCATCTTTTATCACACTGTATCAGCAGGTAAACAAACTGTTTGCTCCCAATTTTGCAAGAGTCCTGGATGATTGGATGAAATCTTACCCAAGGTTACGTTACCTGAAGTCACCTAATTTTCTTCATTGTTTTGCAACAGAAATGTGGATAGAACCACCTAGAATTGTTTTGTTTTGTTTTTACAAATAAACTCAGTGTAGTCTAACAAGTAAATAAGTGAAATATACAAAAGCTGGGAAGGAACAATTTAGGAGCTAAACGCCAAGTGCGGCCGGGCACACGGCAGTGCCCCGCGCCTGTTTGCTGAGTGAAGACGCGCGGAGCGGTTTCACGTTACCTGCTGGTCAAACAAGGCCCAGAACATTGGGAGAGGAATGTACAGGAACATCACCCTCGTAACCATCTTGATCTGAGAGATGAGCCGCTCCTGCAGTTGGGGTGGGGGGAGAGGACAATCAGCTACGACCTGTGTCACTCAGCTGTCGGGTGGAGTTTCAGTGCAGAGGTGGATATGCGCATCTAGAGACAAACTGGGGGCTGATTCATTGATCACTGGTTTCTCTAGAAAACTGAAAATTTCTAAGCCATTTAAAATATAAGTGCAAACATTTATTTAGGGGATAAATTACTTGAAATGACTAAATGTAAATGTTGCTAAAGGTGAATCCCACCACCGCCTCCACCAACACTTAAGTCTTCTATGTTCAAAGTAAACTAATTCTGCATGGTCACAATTAATGGAATTAATGGCAGATTATACCTAATGAAACATTATGGAAAGGTAATATTGTTTCCAGATGAATTATACCCATTATTTATCAGGTTCTTCTCAGTTACAAAAATGCACCCATGCATGTGTTGTGTGACTCGCTAATGGAGGCTGGGAAGATGCAAGTGATAGTTTTGTCCGTGTGGCCTTGACAGTCTGAACTGGGATATTAGGTGCTCACTTCCTGCAGGAACTGGGGTCACTGCGGCAATGAGGGCTACTCACGTCATACTTCTCTTTAGCCCAGTCCAGCCAGTGCTCCCTCTTGGGAAATGTCTTGCTCCGATGTCTAAATCGATTTTTGATGGCGAACTGAAGGAAGGAAGAAAAATCAAATTTTGAAACAGAACTAATGACTTTATCAGGGACACACATTTCAGGAAACCCTCTTAACTGGAACAATATATTTGTGAGAAAAACAAAACATAAAATTGCATATGTACTAGTATATGAGTGTGTTAAAAGGCATAACTGATGCATTTATTTCTTGTCTCTTTCTACCTAAGAGCGTTTGACTTGGGGAAACAGAGTCATCCAGTCTCTAGTATTCAGATTCCCTAGGGAAACATGTCCAGGAGAAATATAACACAGATGCATTTGCAATTTAAGTTTTCTGGTAGAAATATTAACAAGCAAAAGTGAAAGAGGTGAAATTCATTTACAATATATTTTATTTAAACCAATAAACTCCAGCTATGATTGTAATATGTAACCAATATATTTTAAATGAGTGAGAATGTTTACATCCTTTTTTAATACTGAGTCTTCAAAATCCAGGGAGTATTTTGCACTCTTGGCATATCTCAATTTGGATGCTAAATTTTTAGCAGAAAGATTTGATCTGTATTTAGATTTCATAAAGTTTATGTTTGAAAAACTAGATCTTGGCCGGGCGCTGTGGCTCACGCCTGTAATCCTAGCTCTTGGGAGGCCGAGGCGGGCGGATTGCTCAAGGTCAGGAGTTCAAAACCAGCCTGAGCAAGAGCGAGACCCCGTCTCTACTATAAATAGAAAGAAATTAATTGGCCAACTGATATATATATAAAAAATTAGCCGGGCATGTTGGCGCATGCCTGTAGTCCCAGCTACTCGGGAGGCTGAGGCAGAAGGATCACTCGAGCCCAGGAGTTTGAGGTTGCTGTGAGCTAGGCTGACGCCACGGCACTCACTCTAGCCTGGACAACAAAGCGAGACTCTGTCTCAAAAAAAAAAAAAAAAAAAAAAAAAAACTAGATCTATGTGCTAAGTTGTTCCAAACATGCTTAAAAGCTTTCTAGTAACTGATTTGAGTATCAGTTTTTAAATTTAATTCAAGAGCAAGAACCAACTACATAGAAATACATTTATATTTTAAAAAGGCTATTGGGAAACATTTTACAATACAGTAACACTGGTCAGGTGACCCACCTTTCATTGCATTAGAGGGTACTGAGATTCCTGGCTGGTGTTTAGGAGAGGCCTTTAGGAACAGCAAAGGGCATTTGCAATGATGCAGAAACAAGAGAATGTGATATTTGTTGTAACTGGGAACATGCATGTGATTGAAAGGCAACAACTCAAAGCCACAGGCTGATTTTAGGATTCCAGGCAATACAGTTCTCATGGCTCCAAACACCTTGAAGTTATTCTGGAGTTTGAACTACCTTGTCAATTACTTGATGGGGAAGACCTTGGATAGATCGTTGGTAAGGTCCCCTCTTTGCTTGAAAAAAAAGCTGTTTGGTGGGAATAGATCTACTGTTAGAAGAAAAGGGAAGACCTGCGCCTAAGGGGAATTTTTCTTGACAAGGAGAGGACACATTTATTTCACCAAGTAAAACACAATCCAATACTCTAGTTGTATAATACAGTGCGATTGAAATACAGGACAATAATGCAGCGGTCCCCAGGCTTTCTGGCACCAGGGACTGGTTCCATGGAAGACAATTTCTCAATGGATGGTGAGGGGAGGCAGAGCTCCGTGGTGATACAGCGAGCAGTGAAGAAGGGCTGTGAACACAGATGAAGCTTTGGTCCCTGCCCGCTGCTCACGGCCCCTGTGCCCCTCCCCCTTCCTATGTTGCATGGAAGGCAATTTTTCCACAGCCTGGTGCGGCAGGTGATGGCAATGGAGCTCTGTGGTCCAGTCCCTAACAGGCTGCAGACTGGTACCAGTCACCTGCCCAGAGGCTGGGGACCGCAGCAATAATGCAATAAGGCCAGGTAAAGACAAAGTAATCTAAAATTATATTAAAGCTGCCTTTTCATCCAAAAGATTACCCACACATTTTTTAATGTAAATAAATTACACATTTGGCCCCGGTTATACAACACATACAGTAGGTTCACTAGAAAAATGGGGAGTGTATCAGAGGAAAAATTACTTCATTCCTTTATCTGAAGATTCCTACACTTTTTTTTTTTTTTTTGAGACAGAGTCTCACTTTGTTGCCCAGGCTATAGTGAGTGCCGTGGCGTCAGCCTAGCTCACAGCAACCTCAAACTCCTGGGCTCAAGCAATCCTGCTGCCTCAGCCTCCCGAATAGCTGGGACTACAGGCATGTGCCACCATGCCTGGCTAATTTTTTGTGTATATATTAGTTGGCCATTTAATTTCTTTCTATTTATAGTAGAGATGGGGTCTTGCTCTTGCTCAGGCTGGTTTTGAACTCCTGACCTTGAGCAATCCACCCGCCTCGGCCTCCCAGTGTGCTAGGATTACAGGCGTGAGCCACCGCACCAGGCCAAGATTCCTACTCTCAACATTTGTTTCCTGCCTATAAATGTACCTGCGTGTGCGTATGCTATGTAGATGCATATGGAAGAAACCGTATTCTGCACATTCCTATCATCAAACCCTCTTTGATAACAAGACTGCTGATGGCTGCATGTCATGGCACAGATGGACTGTGCGTGAAGCATTATTTTCCTTTTGGCAGCAATTCGGTGGACTTCAATTTTTTTTTTTTTTTTTTTTTGTAGAGACTGGGTCTCATTCTTGCTCAGGCTTGTCTAGAACTCCTGAGCTCAAGCGATCCTCCTGCCTTGGCCTCCCAGAGTGCTAGGATTACAGGTGTGGGCCACTGCGCCCAGCCCTGGACTTCAATTTTTGCTATTATAAATATTACAGTGATAATCTTTGCACATGAGTCTGTATTCAGTTTTAAAACTTATTTCCTCAGTCTTAATTCCTATAGGCAGCATTATCACCTCTTAGGTATTTGAACCCCTGAGACACCTGCTACACACTGCCAAGCCAGGCCCCCCCATTTCGATTCCCTGTTCCCCAACAAACATCAGGCAGTGGCTGCAATCTTACAGGGGAAGAGTCACTTTGATTTGTTTTTCTTTGACCTGTGATCTTACTTTAATTTAATTTAATTTAAATTTTATTTCATCATATTATGGGGATATAAATGTTTAGGTCACGTATATTGCCTTTGACCACCTGACTAAGAGCTTCAAGCGTGTCCATCCCCCAGACGGTGTGCACCACACCCATGAGGTGTGAATATACCCATCCCCTCCTCCCCCACCCTACCCCCCCCACGCGATGAATGTTATGAACATATGTTACCATATGTGCACATAAGTGTTGATCCATTCTGCTAAGTGAAGTATCACAAGAATGGAAAAACAAGCACTGATCTCATTTTAGAAGCTCAAGAGCCATTTCCATTCTTCCCTTTTGGAGTTGTGTTTGTGTCTTTTTCTGTGTTGGTGAGTTTTATAAGAAATTTCAATTCATCAAAATAGTTTAGAACAGTAAAGATATGTTTAAATAAAAGTCAAAGCTTAATCAAATTTTAATTTAAAGGAGGTAGAAGGCTCTGGGGTGATGAAATATCATTGAGAAAGAGCTTCAGAAATACTTACACCAATGCACTTGACCACTTTAGCCATGATGTTACCCTGTGGCTGGAACTTCTTGTACATTCCACTGCCAATGATAAATACAACTAAATAGAGCAAAAGAAGATGCGTTAGTAAGGTGTTTGCCAGAGCTACCTGTGACCTAGAGAGAGGTTATTTGAGTTATCACCCTGTTTTGGAAATAGCTGCACTACTTATGGAATGGACTTGCCTACCTACCTCACAGTTTAGACAGTGCTTTTGATTCTAACAGTCACAAAGCCTCTGAGTAATGTTATATTTTTGTTCTAATATACAAACCTTTAAGCCTAACACTATCTATTTCCCAGTACTCGAGGAAGCGCATACACACTCAGTGCAGCTATTTAAGCACAAGTTGTATCTCCGTGTAAAGGGAGACAACAGGAGTAAGTGCTTTCACATAACAGATTAATGTATTGTTCCACACAAACAGTAAATGTGGGTGTAAATTTGTGGGTGCAAGGGCATGAGGAATTTTCTTTTACTTGTTAATCTTCAGGGAAAAGGGAATTAAGCTGTTGAATCTGTTATTCAATCATATGTAGCAGAAATTTTTTCTGTGGTCACTGTATAGAAGCACAGTTACAATTAATTGCATTTGCAGTTAAAGTTTTGCAAAAGTTAGAAGCACTTTTTATTTATTTTTTAAAAAAATTTAGCGTATTATGGGGGTACAAGTGTTAAGGTTACATATATTGCCCATGCCCCCTCCCCCCTCAAGTAAGAGAAAAGCACTGTTTCAATGAGGCCATTCTTCCATGGACATTCATAGGCGTATTATGAAAATAACACAGAAAAAAGCCTTTCTGCAAGAGACTCTAAAAATAGTGCCTATCCTAGGATTTCTGATTATCCAATACCACAATTCAATAATTTAAATCCCCTGATGCCTGGCTTGAATTCCACTTGCTTTCCTCAATTAAGAGGTGTGAGGTTTTTGACAGGTATCAATCTCCAGCATATCCCCAAGTACGTGCCTATCCTATGCACCTCCTTTACAGCTGACGAAAGAGGTGTTCATTTATATTCCCGTCCAAGGCTAACCTTTCTGAACACACATGGATGGTAAACATGTCCAACAGATTGGGTCTACATTTTCTTTTGTCAACTAATACTTTAATCTTTAAGCTTCTGATTAACTGGAGCTACTTCAAGCACATAAATTTCTAGAGGTGGTGTTGACGCATAGGATTTGGCCTATTCTCCATTCTTCCATAAGAAAAAGCATAATCTTTGATATAAGAATGACTTGTACAGGCTAAATGAGAATTTACATAAAGTGCTTAACACAGTGTCTGGCATAAAGCAAGGCTTGTTGGAATGCTCTGTCTCCCACCCAGCATTAGGGAGGAGAAGGCACAAGTGAGCCTTCTAGGGGAGTGTGGCAGTATCTGCAGAATTATGGGAGAAAAGAGATATGTTAAAACGTGGAAAATACTGAGCTGTTACATAAATGTAAGGAGAAGCTAAATTGCTACAACATAAACAAATGAGGTTAAAAATGCCCTACTCAATACTATGAAGATTTGAAAACAAACATTGGAGAGGGAGATGTCATCGCCAGGTGACCAAAGCTGACAATGACCCCTTCTGAGTGGAAGAAGAGGCTCTGAAGACTTGGGGTGGCTGCTGGGCTCTGTTTTCTTCTTGCACTTTACTCAACCATCTTTCACTCGAGATCATACCATGGAGAAAACTCTTCACATTTCATAAAAAACCAATGCCAAGAACTAATGTGCAAATTAATGTATCTAATATATACATATGTTCTTTCCATAGGGAAGGAATTCTAGCTGAAACATGTGGCGATGATAGATTATGGAAATGTATATGTTCATTGGAAAGATTTCAATGGCAGTGGAACCAGGTTGCCATTTCAAGCAAGCTGTAGATAAGCTCATGTTGACAAGAAAAGCTTTCATCCTTGGGTTCAGCTAGTCTAGCAGATTCTATCACCTTCATCTTAATGTGCCCAGATAGTATCGCCTTCAGATGGCCAACTCAGTTGATTCCTTTTCTTGTAAACCTTTTTTTTAATCCTATTCCCTACTTTCTCTGAATACTCAGAGGATGTTGCCATCTAATGGCAGTTGTCCACACCTTTTGCTGCATCTTGTTCCATGGACTTTTAAATATTAGTCACAATAATTACCGTAGGGCCTGACCTGGTCCTAGGCTTTTATTAATTCTACTGACTTCTACTTACTCAGGGATACAGCCATGAGGGCAGCAGGAACCCCAAATGCCAGTGGGTAACAAGCTTGTATACTGTGAATTCCACATTGTTGAACTGGGGAGAAATCACACATTAAATTCATTATGGCATTGGCAATGCGCACACAGTTCCCATTTTTAAAAATCACTCGCTGGCTATTACGTGTTGCTTTTACTTATGCCTTGGCCTCGCTGAGGTCATGGCCAGCTGAGCAAAGCAGCATTTTAGCAGAAAGCAGGAGGGGGAGACAGGTTCTAATCTTAGCCCCTAAACAGATGTGTGATCCTGGATAGGCTGAAATCAATGGGTCCTGGTGGTTCTGTGGATATTCTCAGTGAGGGAGAGAAATATGATCGGATAGGAGTAACTTGATTATATGGGACTCAGTAAATGAAATAAAAAATGCCTTGGAAGTGTGATTGATAGTTCCTAATACTTACTGTCTCGTTCTCTTTCTCTGGGAAGTTCTTTGGGAAATGCTTGAGATAATTAGGAGAGCAAAGAATCAAACTTTGCCCGCCAAACTCTACCAAACTCACTGAAACATTACTGGGGACAAAGCTTGAAGGCTGAAATGGCAACTACAGCTCACCCACGAGTTTCTTCTGAACAGCCGCTCATGCCTCTAATCTCGTACCATGAATAGGACTTTGCATTGATAATCTAGAAAGCTGCGTGCCAATGCTAAGGATGTCTTAGACTCTTCCATGGTCACTGGGATAAGGGATTCAAATAAGGTTAGAAAAGGAGGTGAAACTTGAGAGAAAAGAAGCTCATGTTCTGCATGTCAGGGCACATCCCTGCATTAGCTGACGGTGGAGTAGAGGGCAGGAAGTGAGAGAGAAAACAAAGAAAGGGAACAATGACTTAGCCTTTCCACCTGGCCTTCTTCCTCACAATTAAAAAAAGGAAAGCAGAATTTCCTTTCCGAGATTTCTTACCTCTGAGCATGGGAGTGATGATGGTAGAAATCAAACTTCCAGCATTAATGGCCAAATAAAAGATGGAAAAAAATCTGTTTCTTTGTTTTTCCTGTCATGGAAAGGACAGAGGTAAAGTGAGATGGCTTTGGTTACGTAGCAACCGAGCAGGTGGCCAAGGATGTGACTTCGCGTCCCACTTCGCTCTGGTCGCTGTCTTGCTCTCCGACGCACTTGAAAGGAATCAAAAGGGGAGCAGACCTCGTCCCAGGGGCATCTGACGCCCAGAGGTCTAGAATTCACTCCCGTGGGCTCTGGGGAGGCGCCTGCTCTTACCTGGCCCTCTTCAAACTGATCTCCACCAAATGCGGACACGCAGGGCTTGATTCCTCCCGTGCCCAGAGCGATCAGGGCCAGGCCGATCACCGACAGCGCCCTGGGAAAGAAAGGCCGTCAGGGCCAGGACGCAGGTCCCCGCGGCACAATCCCCGCGGCACAAGCCTTCTCCGTCTCCTGATGCCCCTCAGAGGGCCAGGCGCAGCGACAGAGAGAGAGAGGGGCCTCTACCTGCACGAGAAGCTAATTCACACGCTCTCCGATAGTTGAATGAGAACTTGGACCCCTGGCATCCAAGTCCCTACCCTTGTCTAATAATTTACCATCTTTGAAAACGTAAAGCAATAGCTTGAAATCTGAACAAACACTCAGCTTTGGAGTACTTTCCAGCTCTATTATTTCTAGGGTGAGAATCAGCAAAGCAAACAGCAACCGAAAAAACCCAAGCACAAGGGATGCTACAGCCACAATAGACACAGAAGAGGCAACAAAAGACATGCACAACCATAACTGCATAACAAAGCAGAAAAACATGTTAAGTAATAAAACCAAAATTTGTCTACAAAGTAACGAAAAATGGAGACAAACACGGGAAAAAGCTAGTCTCAAAGCAAGCTCCCACATAAACCGCCAAGAATGCTAAGATAACAGGCAAGAGCCAACACAACCAGCAAGAATTTAACCGCCTGAAAGGAAAACCGCAAATACATAACATCCGGAAGCAAAAAAAAAAAAAAAAAAATAAATAGCAATTAACAGACCACAAATTGCCAGTTTAAAAAAACCCAACCTAGATACTATAAATCGCTAACATTACAAAAAAACACGAAAAAACATCTAGGAAACAAAAAAAACCAAAGAAGACGAAAAAAAAAGAAAGAAACACATAAAAAAAAGGAAGACGAAACAAAAAGAAAGAAATCAACAAAACAAAGCACTCCTGAAACAATCTTCCCCAATTAAGACAACAAAGCACTAATATAATCACGCTAACCATTTAAAAAAACAACAAAACAATGGCGAGACGAGAAGCATACAAAAGGAAAACAAAACAAAAGCCAAGACCGGGTCCAAAAACAACCCCAAGAAAAAAAAAAAAAAAAACCCAGATCTCCTGAGCACATAGCACCTGCCAGGCAGTGTGCCAGGTGCTTTACCTGGAAGAAGCCACAACAGCGCTATACAAGGCAGGTGCTATGACACACGGGGAGACTGAGGCACAGAGCAGAGCACTTGCCCAAGGCCAGACAGCTGCTCTGTGGGAGAGCTGGAATCAGGCCTGGCAGTCTGAGCTCACAGCCACTCCTCCCACCAACACAGTCAGTCCCCTGTGGGCACCCAGAGTGTTGAATCAAGGGACCTAGTCTGGACAACAACCTGTTGGACCGACCAACCAGAAACGCAGGCATTGCCAATCCTAATTTGAGTTTCTATTACATTTTCCCAGCACATACGATGGTTTACTCTTAGATAAGAAATGGGAGCACAAAAACAGGAAACAATAATTCTCTACAATGAGTCTACTAGGCCAGGTTGCAGGGAAGGGAAATTAACCCACCAGGGAAACACGTGTCCATCACACTTGTCATCGAGAGCCCAGCACAGAGGGTGGAACAGGTATGTATGAAACTGCACTATGGCAAAAGCAGCAGAAGTGTGGTACAAGACAGAAGATGGAAGGTGCCAGAGGGAACCTGGTGGTGTTGGGGATCAAGGTCTGTGGGAGCTACGTCCCCCAGGAAATATGGGGACTTACACGGATTGGCCCACGGACCACACATCACGTGGGATGTGACAGCCCAGGACAGCCCAGCCTCACAGGGGGCAATATCTCCAGGTGCCCATGAGGATGGTGTCACACAGAAGCCCCTTCAGCCATTGGCCAGCCCTTTCCCCACCCCCGCCAGGGGAGGAGAAGCATCTTTGCACTCATGGTGATGTCCAAGGAGAAAGAGGAAGAGTCGGGCACCAGATAGGCCCCTGATGGGGGGGGAGGGGTTAACGTCACTCACACGTGTGTAGGGATGCTGTCGGGGGTCCCATCGTGGTTGTGGTCTGTGAGGTCGTTAATGGAGCTTATGGAAATGACCACTTGTCCAATCGTGTAGATGATGGACAGCGACACGATGGTCCTGTGTTTAAAGGGTTAAGAGAATCCAGGTTAACTGCACCGCGGTGTCCTCCTCTGACTCCACCACAATAGACCCTGTCCCTCGTCCTGCACAACCTACAGGAGCCCGGTCCTGAACACGCTTCTCTGTCAAACTTCAGTAAAACTGGTGACTCTCAGGAACTTGGAGCAAAGTTCTGGCCAAGAGGAGCAGGAGGACCAGAGGAGGTCCATTTTATCCTTCAACTATTCGGAAAAGTCAACGTTTTCTTTCACCTAACTGCAGAAAATATTTATATCTTTAAACAGTGAGAATCACTTATCTTGGAATTGGTGATAATGTTCAGCCAGGAGTGGACCATTGGCTAACTTTTTTAGAATTCTGTTGTGGTGAATGTTCTTGCTTCTGTGCATGCTACAGTTTGGTTTATTTGCACCTCCAAACCTCATGTTGAAATTTGATCCCCAGTGTTGGAGGTGGGGCCAGGTGGGAGGTGTTTGGGTCAGGGGGTAGATCCCTCATGAATGGCTTGGTGCTATCCTTTTGATAATGAGTGGATTTTTACTACCTTAGCTCCTGCAAGAGCTGGTTGTGAAAAACAGTCTGCCCCCTCCCTTCTCTCTTTCTTTCTCTCTCTCTCTCCCTCTCTCTGTCTCTTCCTGTCTCACCATGTGATCTCTGCACATGCTGGTTCCCAGGTGCCCTTCTGCCATCCCTGGAAGCAACTTGAGGCTTTTGCCAGATCCCTAATCTTCCAGCCAGCTGAACTGTGAACCAAATAAACCAGTGATCCCCAACTTTTTAGGCACCAGGGACAGGTTTCATGGAAGACAATTTTTCCATGGACAGGCGTGGGGGATGGGGAGGGGATGGTTCGGGATGCTTGGGTGGTGATGTGAGCGATGGAGAGCAGCTGTGAACACAGATGCAGGCTTGGTGGCGTGGCCACCACTCACCTCCTGCTGTGTGGCCTGGTTCCCAACAGGCCATGGAACTGTTACTGAGGCCACGGCCTGGGAATTGGAGACTGCAGAAATAATCCTTTTTTTCTTTGTAAATCACCCAGTCTCAGGCATTCCTTTATAGCAACACAAATGGACCAAGACAGCCCATGTGCCTGAAGGAGCTCTCCTTCCTTCCTCCCTCATCAAATCCCAGGAAACTGTCCTACAGCCTCCTTTTGGATGCGCCCTTAGAGCTCTTCCTGCAGGGCTGGGACAGTGCTGAGCAGCCGAGGCCCTCAGTAGCCAGGATGTATATCAGGGTCTTTATAGGGATGCATATTAGGGTCTTTCTTTGTTTTCCCAGCTCTTAATTCTGCGCCCCACATATCAGTAGTGAAAGGGAGTGTCTCTGCTACGACTTCAAAAGGAGACAAAGATGTTACATTATTTTTGTCTGGATTAGGGGAAAACCTGCTAATGCTCCTGGCATGCACGTTGCTAAATGCCAGACACTGTGCCAGGCTGTCCTAAGAGTTTAGGTTCCTTAACTCTCCATTCCAGATTCAACCATCCCTAACCACAAGGCTTATATTTATCTCTTGGCTTGTTAGTGAACAAGAAACGTCCAGCCACTCACTTGAACTTGCCCAGCCAGGAGTCGGCGATGAGCGCTCCGAGAATGGGCGTCAGGTAGCACAGAGCGACGAACGTGTGGTAGATGGCGGTGGACAGGTTGTCATCCCAGCCGATGAAGTTGGTGAAGTACAGAATCAGGATGGCTTTTTGCAGAGGGCGGGAGGGGGAGGAGGGGAACAGCATCAGGACTGGCCGTGGTGGCCCCTGCCCTTCACCGAAGGGGACAAGTGGCTGAAGCAGTTACCTCTCATGCCATAGTAGGAAAACCTCTCACAGAACTCATTGACCACGATGAAGAAGATGCTGAGCGGGTACCCGAAGCAACTCTGGCAGAAAGAAACAGCACAGGACTGAGACGCGCCTCCCCGGTGCCGGCCCCAACTAGCGCCCCCGGCATGCAAAGTGGCCGGCGCACACCCGGTCACTCCCGGTGACGATCCAGAGGGGGGACTAGAGCTAAGGAGCTTTATTCCCTTACATGAATCATTCCACAGACAGACAGCAATGGCAGAGCATCTAGTTTGACAGTTAGTGTAAAAAGGACTCTGCATAGCAGGATGTCGCACCCAGACAGCAGGATCATCCCCGTGTCAAAGCACAATACGTATTTGTCAGGTGAATGAACATGTAGGCGTAAAACAGATTGTAAAATTCATAAACTGAAAATGGGAGAAAAGGAAAAAAGACACTCACCGTTGACTTGGACATTCCTGAAAGAAAAACAGAATGCCAGTGTTACAGTCAAGCCATTGCAGTCCTGTTGGCCGCGTCTACACTGACACCCACCGTCTTCTCACGGCAGTCAGAGAGCCACACACAAGGTGGCTCCAGCTGTCCCAGGACCCCAGCCCGAGACTCTCGATGCTTATGTCAAGCGGGGCCTGGCACCCGTGTGTCCTTGCAGGGAGCTCCTCAGCCAGCCTCGTGCAGTCAGAACTGAGAGCCAGCGGCTCAGAGTATCGCGCCCCAACCGTCTCCTCCTGTGCCCACTCCAGAGGCTGCCCCTCAGGGTGAAACCCAGATATGTTAGAACGTTATGCACTGTCTCCCAAGGCCATTGGGCTTTTGTGATGATTAATTGCAATCCCAAACACTACGGTGCCTGACACACAAGCCTTCCGTAACCCATGCACAGAGGACAATAAGGACTCCGACTCTGCTCACTGAGTACATCGTGCACACACCAAAAGTCCCTAACGTGTGAGACAGGAACTCCTTGTTCCTTTCATTGTGCTGCTTCCTACTCCTGCTTTAAGTCTTGCCACTGAGAAACTACCTTCCCGAAGTTTCCTCCAGTCTTCCTATGTCACCAGTGTAATGACGGCTAGGTGTATTTTTGCTTTCCTCCTAGACTGAGCTCCTCAAGTGGAAGAATCATGCACTAACCATCATGCCAGCACCTCCACATCCCAACATCTTACGCAACACCTACGGCTAGGGGGGGCTCATCGTTGGAAGAGTGGATCAGAAGGGCAAGAAGAAAGTGTGAGACTACGTGAGTCGGTGCAAGCTGGTTCCAGTGCACTCTGGAGTCTGAATCCTAGAGCACCTTCTTCTCTCCTCTGCAGCCCCAGCTCCTGTCTCCCCTGAATCTGGGTAAGAGCTGACCTGTCCCTTTGTCCCTTTATACCTCCTACCCTGCTCCCTGCACCAACACACCACCCTGTGTTTATCCACCCTGTCACATGCCACACCATTTCCCTGGAAATCCATCTCCTTCCCTCTCAGCCATCCCCAGTGACCTCATCTTAAGAGTCTCTGTTACCAGGGCTCCCTGCACACGCTCCCCTCTATTAGGAATCAGTGACCCTACAGCAGTGGGACTCAGGCTTGAGTGTACCTTAGAGTCACCAGGGGACTCAAGAGCACAGATCTCTGGGCCCCTCCCCAGGCTACGGACTCTATAGGACTGGGGTGGACACTGGCTTTGCATTTCTAACAAGTTCCCAGATGTCGATGCTGCCGCTGGTCCAAGCTGCATGCTTCGAGAACCACTGCACCAGAGAATTAAAAATAATCCTTAAGAGACTGTCCTGTCTCCAGTATATGCTCTTGGTGCCTTTGTCAAAAACGAGTTGGCTGTAAATGCATGGATTTATGTCTTGGTTTCCTATTTTGTTCCATTGGTCTATGTGTCTGCCTTCATGCCAGTACCATGCTGATCTGGTTACTGTGGCTTTGTAGTATGTTTTCAAGTCGGGTGATATGATGCCTTCTGCTGTGTTCTTTGTCTCAGGATTGCTTTGGCTATTCGAGGTCTTTTGTGGCTCCAAATTTTAGGATTGTTTCTTCTATTTCTGCAAAGAAATGCCATTGGGTCGTGTCATTCGCAGCAACATGGATGGAACTGGAGGACGTTGTGTTAAGTGAAATAAGCCAGGCACAGGAAGGCACATACTGTGTGTTCTCACTCACATATGGCAGCTAAGAAATTGCAGTCGTGAAGGTGTGGAGTCTAGTGATGGTCACTAGAAGCTGACAAGGACATGGGGATGCAGGGGGATGAAGGAGGAGGAGGGTCGGTTAATGGGCACAAACATACAGTTAGTTACACAGAAAGAATAAGTTCCAGTGTTCAATAGCATAATTAGATGACTACAGTCAGCAATAATTTATTGTATATTTCAAAATAGCTAGAAGAAAAGATTTAGAATATTCCCAAACACAAAGAAACGATAAATGTTTAAGGTGATGGATATCCAAACTCCCGAGATTTGAGCATTAAACACTCTATGTCTGTATCAAAGTACTAAATGTACCCCATGCATATGTACCAACTATCATGTATCTACAGAATTTTTTTAAGTGCTTGAATCCTTGGCTGCCCATGTGCTGCCCGTAGCCGCAGGGCAGCCTGTGCAAAAGGCAGTTGATGGGGAGTCAGCGCCAAGACTGACTTTGCTCTGTACCTGAGGGTCTGCATTTCTCACAAGTTCCAAGGTGATGTTGATGCTCCCGGTCGAGGGCCCACACTTTGGGAACCTCACACGGGGCCAAGCGGGATGTTGCCCGAGGGCTCTACATACTTCTTATCATTCCCTGCCTCTGAGCACGGGAAAGACCACAGCAGGCTGATTCTGGAGCAGAGACCCGGCATGGGAGCTGCACAGCGCGCTGGTCTCCTCCACGGAGCCACCCGCCCCCAACCTCTCCTGCCGTCTGCCATCGGGGCCCTTCCTCTCAGATTTAGCACCTGGTGTTTTCGCTACGTGCAGTCCAGGGCCCGGTCCCTTGTGCACGAAGTCATGGCCCTGGTGGAGGAGCCCCCCTCTTAGCCTTGCAGGCAGCAGTCTCCCCCCAGTCCCTGGGTCACCTCCACTGTGCCAGCACAGCCTGGTCCAGGGCCACCCCCCGCAAAATGGCCTTGAGTTTTGCCCACGTAAGAGCATTTTAGATGCGATTTTAGTCCTTGTTCTCAGGAGGGAAATAAACTATCTTGGTCTCACAGGACCCCAGTTCCCAAGTCTTCCCGCCTGTTCAAGTCCTGGACGGAGATTCCTCAACAGCCATGAACTGGTTTCCTCCCCAGTTAGATGCCCTTGTGGGAAGGGGCCGCTGCCAGGGCGACACACGAAGCCCGTGGAGTCACACGTGTGACGGAGCCTCAGCTCTGGACTGTGCCAGCTGTGACCCTGGGCAACCCCCCTGTCTTCCGGACAGCCCGACGCCCAGACGGAGACGACGCCCCCCGCCTGGGAGGAGCTGCACGGTCCACCGGACCCCACGTGGAGCCTGGCATGGGAGGGATGCCACTGGCGCCTCCCCCAGGGTAGAAACTAAGTGTTTGCTGAATACATTTCCGCAGCCCCTGAGTGGCAGTGACCAAGTGCAGTGTTCAGATTCCCGCCCTACCCCTCGCTGCTTCCACTGGCCCTGCAGGACTCTGAGGCTGACTGGCAAGGATGTCACTGATGTCCCCACGTCCCACCCTGGCTTCCAGGGCGCTTGGTCAATGGGGAAGATCAGAGAGAGGGAGGAAAAGTCAGGTCATTTGCTTTTCTGGCGCCTTCACCCCCGCCAGGACACCTCTGACTGGCCATGTGCTCAAGTGGCAGTCACGGTATCTCTGCCACACGGCTCTCTCCTTCCAGGTCTTGGTGACTGTTCTCTCCCCTCGCCCTTCAGGTCACCGTGACCTCAGTGTCTGCACTATCCTTTATAGTTGCCTGCCCCCCACACTTTTCTAGAATCTTCCTCTGAGTGAACCCTCCCATATTGAGCACGCCATCTGTTTCTTGATAGGACAGGGGTGACACAGAGCACACGCTGCGCACCTGTGCTGCCCTCCGCCACTACCAGGAGGGAGTCTGCAGAGAAACATGGAGGGCAGTCTCGCAGGTGTACCTTGTTCAAGCAGGACCCGAATGGGCTGTTGGTATTTTTCAAAGACTTTGGGTAACAGGGCCTGACCACTGCCTCCCACAGCTGACGCAAGAGGTGACAGCCACCCAAGGCCCATATCGCTCCTGGGATGGGCCTGCTATGGATAAGCAGGAGGGAGCCCCCAAAACTCACACCCAGCACACAGAGCCTGGAGCTGCACCCCCGCCTCCCTTTCCCCGGGCCTCAGAGACTGGTCCACAGGGGAGGACTTCCTCTTGCCGGGCTAGTACCTCTACTTTTTTGCTAAATAACGGCAAAGTTTTTGCTTACTTCAAAATCATATAGGGTTATAGAAAAGGGACCAAAACATCCAGAGAGCTAAGGTCTTATTTTAATAATCATCACATCCAGGACCCAGAATTATGGAAAAGAAAATTCTTTAACTCTCTGGCGTGTAAATCTGAAATGTAGTACCCAGTCATTACTGAGGAAGCATTTTATTTTCTGAAAGGTGTGCATTCCAAAGAGCTACTTTTATTATTTCAGGGCAGAGGTTGCTAAAGTCTTTTTATAGAATCCAGAGCTGCCTACTGGATGTCATGTTGCAGTCAGCATTTCTTATCTGACACACCTGTGTCAACAGGATTGCTATCTGAGAAAGCTCAAGTGCAGAAGTGGTGTTTATAGCCACACTTTAGACTGAACTCCAATTTCAACCGCCACGAGACTCTGTTTACTTTGGTGCCATTGTGTTTGTAGTTTGTGTCCCAAGAGTGAATCCCACTGGCGTATTCGAGTGGTCCCATGTTCCCAGCATCACTCTCAGGCCCCTGTGGATGGAACGACTGCTCAGAGCCAAGACCTGGCTGAGCCCGCACCCGGCTCACGGGAATCACTGAGCACTGACTCTCCGTGGTGTTCTAAGTCTAGCAGTGGTTTCCTTTCTTTTGGCTACAGAATTGAACAGAGTAAGTGCATATTGGGCATTTCTATGATTTCCGACTTGGGGTAGGGCTTGGGGAGTCGGGGAAAACAGGAGAAAACTAGGATCCCACCCTTCCCGCCGCTTAATGAAATCTCCCCATTCACGTATTTCCTACTGTTTGTACAAAGCGTGCTTCATATTTGGGATCATTCAGGAACAGAAACTCTACCTCTGACATTTTATTACTGTGAAGGGGGTAGAGATGCATTTGTAGGAGGTGGTCTCGGGAAGCTGGAAGGATCAGGCGTCTAGCTGGGGTCTGAGAGAGAAGTCCTCACCTCTAGGCAGAGAGAACCGTTTCCTGTCACCACCCAGAGCCAAACTGAGGGGATTATGGAAGTTTCCAGTGATGCCTTAGGAATATATTGCTGAAGTGGCAAGGTATGCTAACCAGAGCCTTGG